AAGACATTCAGTATAAACTAGTTTCAACTAGACAAAACGGGTTTTAACAAAGACATTCAGTATAAACTAGTTTCAACTAGACAAAACGGGTTTTAACAAAGACATTCAGTATAAACTAGTTTCAACTAGACAAAACGGGTTTTAACAAAGACATTCAGTATAAACTAGTTTCAACTAGACAAAACGGGTTTTAACAAAGACATTCAGTATAAACTAGTTTCAACTAGACAAAACGGGTTTTAACAAAGACATTCAGTATAAACTAGTTTCAACTAGACAAAACGGGTTTTAACAAAGACATTCAGTATAAACTAGTTTCAACTAGACAAAACGGGTTTTAACAAAGACATTCAGTATAAACTAGTTTCAACTAGACAAAACGGGTTTTAACAAAGACATTCAGTATAAACTAGTTTCAACTAGACAAAACGGGTTTTAACAAAGACATTCAGTATAAACTAGTTTCAACTAGACAAAACGGGTTTTAACAAAGACATTCAGTATAAACTAGTTTCAACTAGACAAAACGGGTTTTAACAAAGACATTCAGTATAAACTAGTTTCAACTAGACAAAACGGGTTTTAACAAAGACATTCAGTATAAACTAGTTTCAACTAGACAAAACGGGTTTTAACAAAGACATTCAGTATAAACTAGTTTCAACTAGACAAAACGGGTTTTAACAAAGACATTTAGTATAAACTAGTTTCAACTAGTTAAAACGCATTCTAACTAAAAACGGGTTTTGACTGTAACATATATAACATGGAAATTTTTCTGTTTTTATGATCTATTTTTTCTGTAAATGATATCTACTACTGATTTTTATTATTTAATTACTTAATTAAAACATCTCTTTCTTTTTTTTTGATAGCTGGATATTGGTTATATGTGCAGTGTTTATTAACATATACCCAGTTTTGAGTAGTTGAATTCACACTAACATCCATACATCCAGAAAAAAACCCCCCAACTTTTTTGCATTTCTCAATGTTTCAAGGTCCTGAGTCCAAAAATGTAAAAATCTTGAGGGGTCATTGTTTCTACTGATTGAGCTATTATATAACAGTCAGGAAAGTAAAGCAGTCACAATTTCAAAGTTATTTATTCTAATATTTATAAACAAAAGTAAAATTAATTTTATTAACAAGAAAAAAACAACTCTAGACTATGTTACATACTTGCTGGCTGGAGTTGGCATATAGGACCAGACTGCCATGTATTGCTCTAGTCAAATAATTGAGTAATCTTGAATTACAAAATAAAAATTTTATTGTTTATTATAAATTTCTGGAAAATCTTTCGCCTGAATCACCAAAATATTAAGTAAGAATATCTAAGATATTAAACAAATTAAGAAATTACATTATAAAAGTAAAATCGTTTAACACTTTTGAAGAAAGACAAAATATTTTATCCACTTACAAGCAATCATTAGTAAAAATGTTTATTGATTTTGAATTTGTATGATTATACTATAATATAATTCAATTAAAATTCAAATGTAAAAAACTGCTTTTTTCTCACTATTCCAAACAAAAGTGAGAAGGAATTTGCCATTAATGATAAACAGAATTGAGAGTTTGTGGTTCACGCCACAAATTTTCTTTTAGTCATTACTAAATTGTTAATAAACAACTGACAATTATTTTATTAAAATAACTTGTAGATAAATAGCAAACCACTTCATGTCTAATTATAAACTTTGCTTAATCATAGTCCTATAATTCAGCAGATTGTCTACTATATGCTATTTTGCTTTTTAGATTTCATTTTCCCTGAATATAATGCCAACAAAATGTGGCACTTTCTTATTACACTATGATTCTGAAAATTAGTTGATATTAATTTATATAAAACTGTTAAAAATAGTTATATACATTTACATTTAAGTCGACAAATAATTTAATATTTATCAAATGTTTGAATATTTTATAACTCCATCTTAAAAGAAAAATCAATCCCGTTGAATCTTTACAGGATTATTTTTACATGAATTATATAAATTAAAGATTAAATACATTCTGTTGATATTTACTATAATTATCATGAAAATAATCCTATAAAAATCCAATAATTCTAATTTCTTTATCTGGTGAACTTCATTAGTTTCATCAAAGTTTATATGTTGAAGTAGGAAGTTTTACAATATTTATATTATACTTAGAGCCAATTTTTCTTCTAGGAATTTCTAAATTAATTCTAATAATTAAAATATTTAATAAACAGGAACACCACTTATATTTAGTCCAAATTAACAAATTTACAAACTTATAATATCCTAAAAATCCAGTAATGTTTAGGGAGTAAAGTTATTATTTTATACTAAACTTAATGGTTCGAAGATTTAATTAATTTTTCACATAATTTATTAACTTCATCTAATAGTTTATTATGCCTACTCTTAATGAATATAAAATGGCAAGATTATTGCATTTGGAAGTCCCAAAGGATCAGCCGTTTTGGAGTTCCTAAAATTTACATAATAATTTCCTATGTTTAAGGGTGAGTTTAAGCTCAGAAGCCACCAAGTGAATGTTTTGTCTGCTAAACATAAGCATAAATTGCTAGTTTATCTTCAGGCTGTATTAAAATTAATTTATTATCTAAAGCATATTTGTGTAACAGTAAGCAATTGGTCTGCCCTCTTGCGTAATGATGAATAATTAAAAATTATTTTGAATTTCAATTAAATAATTTAGTAGTAAACAAACATTATTATTGGCTTTCAAACTGGGCTATAACTGTGACAATGTCCTTTATTTCACTACTCTCTACTTTCAATTTATTTTTTCTCTAAAATGGTCATTTTGTCCTTTATTTTGTGAATTGAAAAAGTAAACTGAATATTGGCCACGTGCAATGATAATATTCAATTTACCAAATTTATTTTATGCAATTTATAAATTTTATCAAATCTGTATTGATTATTTAAATAGCTGGGACAACTTTTTTGTGGAAATGAAAGTATTTGAATAGGTCCTATTACAAGAAACCACTTTGTGGGCGAAGAAGATCGAAGATGTTTTGTTGGAACTAAAATATAAATGACGGTAAACTATTTGATGAAGTTTTATGTATTAAAAATTATATAAACAGTGAAAAGATCTAAGAATGTTAAAAAAATGATAGGTCCTGCCAATGTAGACAGGTTTGGACTTTTAAATATTTCACAGATAAACATGTATCTTTTAAAACCGTTTTAAAAATCATCAAATTTTGTTTATGCCTCCCTGAATCTAATGCCCCAACCAAATGAGTATTTCCATTATTTAAAACCTGATTTATTAAAAGTTTGTTCTTGTAAAATTTATCAAAATTACATTTTTCAAAAGTAAATATTATAAATGTTTAAAATGCTACATACGTGCTTATATTTTATAATAAGTGTTATATAGCTTTTTAGTTTTAGTGAAACAAATAAATATAACCTACTTTTTTTTATTATGAAACAATTTTTGATTTGTTCTTTATTTTTTCCAAAATAATATGGTCACCACAATTATAACACGATAATGTATACTGTGGCGAGGTAAAAGCTTAAATATCATGGAAGTCTATGGGCATATAATTGTCTTCAGTTGATGTGGCAAGTAATCCGTATGGTTAATCGTCTAGATTAATTAGTCTAAAAATGAAGATCAGATACAGATCCTGGAAACATAATTAGCAACAAATCTGCAATGTAATGTAGAAGTTGTAAGTTCAAGTTCCACTCTGGATTGATGTAATATTCTACATTAATTTATATTTAATTAATAAATTTAATATAAAATGGTGGCTTAACTGTCTACCTTTACTCAAAATTACACCATAATCTCAAGTAACTAGCCATTAGGATTGATTCCGAGCTGGATACTAACACACAACTCTCACTTACTAAATAGGTAAATTATCAATTCTGTACTTGGTCCTGCATCAAATCTTCTCTAAACTTTGTTTATACAACTTGACAAAATAACAACATACCAAATTTTTATATAAAGATTAATTAAGTAAAAGGTCAAACAAAGCTAAATAACATAATTTATAACATAACTGTCAAGAATGCAAGAGTAATATCTGAATCCAACCCTGGATTAGTATTTCTTCCAGAATTTTTAAAATTATTTAATTAAATTTCAAATTATCATGTGAAGAGTTCATCCTTACACAAGACAATGACACTACCTCCTATCTTTAGGACATTTTTTGATACTTAATCAATCAAATTGGCCCTAATATACTCTCTAAACAATCGTTTCAGTCTTATCTTTGGCATTGCCCACAGCCGACTACGGACGAAGTGAGAAACATGCCAGGGATCCAGGTTTCAGAAGTCCCGAAACAGGGAAAAATAATTTGCAATTGTAAGTCATAATTTATGAATAATTCTACAGCTACTATTGGATGTTATTAATTTACAATTTCATAAAATTATATAGAGGGAATGCCCAAGTTCTTGTTATTTCAAGTATACAATGGCTGTATTAGAATTGACGTGTCATTATTCAAACCGATTATGCATAATTATGAAATTGTTTTATCCAGAAAGAAGGTCGCACATCCAATTTACACGAAAAGCCATTTATTTAATGACTAATGCATGTGTTACTGCTATGAATATGAAATAAACTATAAAAAAACACACACACTATCATGTTTAAAGAGGAATTTGTCAATAAATTCGCTAAAAATATGTATCAAAATACAAATTATTGACTGTATCAAACTTTTAATTAATTTATTTAATATTTTTTGCATAATTTTTTTATAAATAAACTAATTAGTTATAAATTATAAAAGAAAAACTTAGTTGAAGTCAAGAAAGTCCCTTTTGAAATATAAAATTTATTTATTTTAATATGTGAACAGGCATAAACAGTATGAAATACATTTATCAATTGATAAAATATTTCATATATGCGGAATTACATAATTGGTTACTTTGTAAATGTTTACGATTAATCAACCAATCAGCGTGTACGTTATAAGATTAGAAAAACTAAACTCATCTCACCTGAGAAGGCAAACCTAAAGCTTCGGCTTCTTCGGCAAGTTTCTTTCTAAGTGACTTAAACATAACTTTAATTAACAATATCGATCCCTATCATCAATCATTCGCTTAAATAAACCCACCAAAAAGCCGACAGATGTTAAAAATAAAAGACGTGTTTACTTTACCAAACGATATACTATCGTCCGCCATTTTGTATACGTCACGACACGACTACGTAACATTTTTATTATTTATTTATTTGTATTTTTTTTTTATTTTNAGAACTGTTTTTTAATGTTTCATCCTGAAGAGGGCCTCTAAAAGACGGCCGAAAACGTTAGAATATTAAAATCTTTTGACTGCTGGAAGTAGTATTGAGGTGTTAAGTGTTGTGTGTAGTGTATCTTTCCAGTTTACGTGTTAATTTTTTGTGTGACCACATCTACATTACAGGAGGTGTGCTTTGTATTGAGCCGTTGTTTGATTGTTTGTCAAAAAACCAAAAAGTAATAAATCGACGAAGAACAATTTCGTGAACTTTCAAGCTGTGTGAGATGTCTTGCCGCAAGATCTTTTGCTCCATCTAAACTGGTTTATCATGTGGTAACAATATTGTTTGATTCTGTTACATAAATGTGGACATAGCTTAATAATATTGTATTAGGCATAATGTAATATGATTAACCTGTTTTATTGTCTGCAAGGTAATGAAACAAATTAATACAACTAACTAAATAATTAACTTCTTCATAGTTAGTTATATTAATTAATTGAATTGAAAAAAATACTTTACTATTATGAGATTTATATCAACTAATATGAAAGTAAAATTATTAAATTACGATATAAGAATTTTTAATTTTTAAAATACAGTAATTCCACTTAATTGGGGCAGTTGCTTGCATAGGCCAAAACACAAATAACAGAAACAAATCAACATATTTAATGTAAATTTATGTCACATATTTGAAACAATGATAACTGTAATTGAACACAAACTATGGAAGATGTACCTCTACTTGTATCAATTATCACAAATAGTGCAATCTGTGATAATTTAGAGTAAAAAATGAGTTTACTATTGCCAGGTTTGAGACAGAAACAAAGCAATTTCAATTATTAAACAAAAAGCAGCAAAACAATCAGAGACTTTAGAAGATTAAAAAATGTATGAGGACAATACCCTTAAGTGATTGAGTAGGATGCTAGGAAACACTGCTAAACTGAGACAATATTTCACGCAGGAAAGGAATAAAAACAGTCATTTATCTACTTTAGACATATGCTGATTGCAGTCAGTAAAGAAAAAGCATCAGAGGACACTTGATATATCCTTTCAAAGATTATAATAAAAATATACATTCTGTCTTTAATTAATATATTTTTCAGTAGATGTTTCTTTCCTTCATATATTATTCATTAGACACCACAAAAGGAATGCTTTTTCAACTCATCACAATAACATCTGGTGTAATTGGGCCAAATGATCTGTTCCCTGATGTTGTCCAATTAAGCAGAATCTACTATATTATTTGTTGTACATATGAAATTTTTCATAAACATATTTGCTAAAAACTTTTCTAAATGATTAATAAATTATTCACTGAAAATTTAAAATGGTTATTAGAAATATTTACAGAAAATACAAGACAACGTCCTGTATTTTCTGTGGTTTACAAGACAACGTTCCATTTATCTTGGTTGACCATTTAACTTTAATGTAATATTGCCTTGCAATATTACATTAAAGTTAAATGGTCAGCCAGATTTACAGCACAGCCAGCCAGCACAGATGAAGATCACATTTTGATTACAATCCAATTTGTTTAGTGGCTAACATCTTATTCCATCTCCTTAAAAACATGATAAACTTGTTAAACGTCTGCTTGACTTTTTGCCAAGAAATGACAAAATATCTATGACAAAGATCCAAAAGAATTATAATTTATTTCTAGTTTTGTTTTAATATGACTCAATCTTTTGTCACATTCATTATACCAATTATCCAGCCTGTCAATTCTCTGGATGATTTTGTTAAAAGTTGAAAAAATGTTTTCAAATCTTTCATCAAAATATGAAAACAATTCTTTGGGATTAGCTTATGTGATTCCAGGAAAGTAGTAAAATATTTGTATAGTCTCAAATTTTTCTAAGTTGGCTCACTTGCAGACTTGTGTTACTTTCATGCTAAAGGTGATGACCAATTGGAAGTAGAATACGAGAAATAGGCCCTGGGCTTTCTTCTCTTCCACTTAAAAGAAGTGAAAGTCTAATTATCACTTTTACAAAAAGATTACAGTTGTAATGCAGTAAGTTAACTCTCTCCTTCATGTCTAAAGTGTCATCAACACATACATATGGTACCCCATTATAATTTATTTACAAATTTTATTAGAGTAATCATTGTTTTCGCTATTAAACTGTCTCTATTCACTTACCATTTAGTGCAGTTTATCCTTATATATATTTATGAAATGTAGTATAGAAGAAAGAAAACATTTCTATAAAATATTCTAAATTAAATTTATTCATTTCTAATGATTAATTTTAACACAATACACTGGCTTAACTGGCTACCTCCAATCCAAATTACTTAATATCTTAATAATTAATTAGCTTTATAAGAATATGGCTGTATTGTTTCATTATTAACATATATACAAGATTAGTTTCGTATGTAACTTCATATAATAAAAGCAAAGGCGAAACTTACAAGGATTACATAAACTTTAATTGTCTATTCAATTTAAAATTATTTAATATGTAAATCATTTAACTTTAAAATTACAAAATAAGAAAATTAATGAAACATTTAATGCATATATTGGTAGGGTTTTGTGATATATCATAGTATGTAATTAAATCTGTTAATTAATGCTGATACATGCAAGTAGAAACATTACAACTGACTGAACAGATCAAACTTTTGATTTTGGTTAATTGATGCAGCCTGTCTTAATTTTGTTGTCTTATGTCTCACACCCTAAAAAAAATGTTCACATAGTTTAATGTAATTTTTTTATTTTATATTCTTTAATTTAGTTTAGGATTACATTTTATGTTCATCAAAAAGTTAAATTCTCCCATTTCCAAAGAAGTTTACATGTATATGTTACAGTCAAAACCCGTTTTTAGTTAGAACGCGTTTTAACTAGTTGAAACTAGTTTATACTGAATGTCTTTGTTAAAACCCGTTTTGTCTAGTTGAAACTAGTTTATACTAAATGTCTTTGTTAAAACCCGTTTTGTCTAGTTGAAACTAGTTTATACTGAATGTCTTTGTTAAAACCCGTTTTGTCTAGTTAAAACTAGAATTTACTGCTAGTCAAAAATGAATTTGAGTTAAAACTAGTTTTAACTAGACAAAACGGGTTTTAACAAAGACATTCAGTATAAACTAGTTTCAACTAGACAAAACGGGTTTTAACAAAGACATTTAGTATAAACTAGTTTCAACTAGTTAAAACGCATTCTAACTAAAAACGGGTTTTGACTGTAACATATATAACATGGAAATTTTTCTGTTTTTATGATCTATTTTTTCTGTAAATGATATCTACTACTGATTTTTATTATTTAATTACTTAATTAAAACATCTCTTTCTTTTTTTTTGATAGCTGGATATTGGTTATATGTGCAGTGTTTATTAACATATACCCAGTTTTGAGTAGTTGAATTCACACTAACATCCATACATCCAGAAAAAAACCCCCCAACTTTTTTGCATTTCTCAATGTTTCAAGGTCCTGAGTCCAAAAATGTAAAAATCTTGAGGGGTCATTGTTTCTACTGATTGAGCTATTATATAACAGTCAGGAAAGTAAAGCAGTCACAATTTCAAAGTTATTTATTCTAATATTTATAAACAAAAGTAAAATTAATTTTATTAACAAGAAAAAAACAACTCTAGACTATGTTACATACTTGCTGGCTGGAGTTGGCATATAGGACCAGACTGCCATGTATTGCTCTAGTCAAATAATTGAGTAATCTTGAATTACAAAATAAAAATTTTATTGTTTATTATAAATTTCTGGAAAATCTTTCGCCTGAATCACCAAAATATTAAGTAAGAATATCTAAGATATTAAACAAATTAAGAAATTACATTATAAAAGTAAAATCGTTTAACACTTTTGAAGAAAGACAAAATATTTTATCCACTTACAAGCAATCATTAGTAAAAATGTTTATTGATTTTGAATTTGTATGATTATACTATAATATAATTCAATTAAAATTCAAATGTAAAAAACTGCTTTTTTCTCACTATTCCAAACAAAAGTGAGAAGGAATTTGCCATTAATGATAAACAGAATTGAGAGTTTGTGGTTCACGCCACAAATTTTCTTTTAGTCATTACTAAATTGTTAATAAACAACTGACAATTATTTTATTAAAATAACTTGTAGATAAATAGCAAACCACTTCATGTCTAATTATAAACTTTGCTTAATCATAGTCCTATAATTCAGCAGATTGTCTACTATATGCTATTTTGCTTTTTAGATTTCATTTTCCCTGAATATAATGCCAACAAAATGTGGCACTTTCTTATTACACTATGATTCTGAAAATTAGTTGATATTAATTTATATAAAACTGTTAAAAATAGTTATATACATTTACATTTAAGTCGACAAATAATTTAATATTTATCAAATGTTTGAATATTTTATAACTCCATCTTAAAAGAAAAATCAATCCCGTTGAATCTTTACAGGATTATTTTTACATGAATTATATAAATTAAAGATTAAATACATTCTGTTGATATTTACTATAATTATCATGAAAATAATCCTATAAAAATCCAATAATTCTAATTTCTTTATCTGGTGAACTTCATTAGTTTCATCAAAGTTTATATGTTGAAGTAGGAAGTTTTACAATATTTATATTATACTTAGAGCCAATTTTTCTTCTAGGAATTTCTAAATTAATTCTAATAATTAAAATATTTAATAAACAGGAACACCACTTATATTTAGTCCAAATTAACAAATTTACAAACTTATAATATCCTAAAAATCCAGTAATGTTTAGGGAGTAAAGTTATTATTTTATACTAAACTTAATGGTTCGAAGATTTAATTAATTTTTCACATAATTTATTAACTTCATCTAATAGTTTATTATGCCTACTCTTAATGAATATAAAATGGCAAGATTATTGCATTTGGAAGTCCCAAAGGATCAGCCGTTTTGGAGTTCCTAAAATTTACATAATAATTTCCTATGT